TGACTTTATTCAAATATCAACAGCTTAAAAGAAAAATTCCACACAAAGAAATCATCAAAGAAATACAAGGAAAAATACTTATATGCCTGAGCTTTAAATATAAATACTTAGGTAAGGCTATATATTTTAATGGACCACTCCCTCCATCCCTTCAACATGGAGTGGTAGCTGGTGCCACATGAACACCAACCTGCAGAGGGTCCTCTCTGGTTTAGCCACACCACTGAAAGATTATTGGGTAAACCGCTGAAGGTGCAATATGCAAGATTTTGAGTAATGCAGAATTCTTCCAAAAGATGAAAAAAATCCACACTTGCTAACCGGCAAACATACTTTCTACCACAAAGCAAAAGATTTTCGAGGCTGTAAAGCATAGGCTGGTCAAAGACAATCAGGGCCATTCAAATTTCTTACTAAACTTCAAAGCCATTTCTATTATTGTTTTTTCAACAATTTCCCCACAAGATATTAACATTTGAAGGAGCTTCTCTGGTGTTTTCATAAGAGTGAAACAAAACTTGATGACGGTGGCTATGTTGTAAATACATGAGCATCCTCACTAGGAGAAAGGTGTAATTGCAAAAATGTGTAGAATTACAAAATAGATAACTGCAAAGGTGAGATCAAATTAGCCAGCATCTCATCTGAAGCATCACCCTCTGTATGCTCTAAAGAATGTTAGCAACATACTTCATTTTGAATGAGTCCAAAAGGGCAGTAATATTTGCATCCTTTTGAAGACAGGTATAGTTAAATTATTTAACAGATTAGCATGCATTTAGCTCTGTATGTATAGAGGGCTGTACACAAGCAGAAACCAACCACATCTTCCAGGCATACATCTTAAGTGCAGTAAAATACATGCATGTGTGACTGTGATCAGTGGTATCTACCTGTTTTGCATGCTATTTCGTACATCTATGTTTTCCATGTTCAAATAATTTCATGTCTGAGGAAGAACTATGACAAGTGGGTAGCCTTCCTAAATATGTTGCTTCTTGTTCCATGATATTAATGGAAGTACATACATTTCATAGAAAGGTTAACAGTCTGGGTGTGTAACTTCACATGCCTTAACAGTGCTCTGAATACCCAAGCCTGAAGAGGAGTTCTCTGTAACATTAAAGCTGACTTCCAGCATTTTAAACGTTAGATGGCCTTGCATGCTATTAAATCAGTGGAAGGGATATTTCACACATCCATTCTCTCTTTTTCCCTGTATATCTAATGGAAGATGGAAAGAGAAGAAGAGTGGGTGGGGAAGACATAAGAGAACAGGAGACAAAAGGAAGGGGGATGGGGAAAAGGCTGCCTGTATTCAAATTTGCATACCACCTCCCATCTCTTTTTGGGCTTCCACTTTTGTGAAGAATCATCACCCCAAGGGAGACAACTGATGGCAGTAGGAACACACATGGGGGCTGTGCACCATCTAGAAGGGTCAACCCCTTCCTAGTTCCCAGTCTACTGGCATCATGACATGATGCCAACAAACCCATCCTCTTTCACAGAGACCTGACAAAATGCCCCCAAGCCCTCTTCAGGGAAGAGTGATCAGTCACAACCAAGGTAGCCCTCCCCAGAAAGTCTGTATCAGCCCTACTACATCCCTGGGAGCCGCTATCCTTGAACTGCCACCCCCACTCACATCAAGGACTGGGGAGGGGGGAAAGGAGATGTGTTCATCTTCTTCTTAGGAAAAAGGGAAGACGTTGAGCCTTGGTGCCTCCAGCTGTCCTGCAAATGAGCATAACCTTCGTGTGTGTGTGCGCGCGGCGGGGGGGCACACTGAGGGGTGGGACTCCAGGAGGCCCGAAGGATGGAGACTGGACGGGATCACTCCCATTCTCCGTCTTACACGGCAGAAACCTGGGACGGGGGGGGAGCCTCCCCCACCGCGGAAGTCTGGGTGGGAGGGGGCGGGGTCTGGGCGGACACCGCCCCTCAGCTACTGCTGGTGCTGCTGCCGCCGCCCACCTCCCGTACCTGCGGTTGGGCCCGGCCTCTCCTCACACCCCCTGAGGGGCGCACCCCGGAGCGGCCCAGCGTCGGCGGCGACGGCGGCGGCGTCTCCTCATCGCGGTGACAGCCGGGAGCCCCGCCCATCTCTCGCGGCCCCGCCTACTTCTCGCGAGACTGGTCCCGGCGAAGTCACACCCACCGGGTTTCTTGGTCGCGACGAGGCGTTCCTAGATGTGAAACGGAACGAAAAAGCAGCGTCTGATCCCAGCTGGAGGACACACCATGGAGACTAAGAACTAGAAGGGGCAGGGAGTTAATCATAGAGTCTCTCTCTCTCTCTGGTTTGACAAAGTTTTAGCCCACTGGCACCCTTAACACCTTGAATTTAAAAACTTAGTTGGTCTTAAAGGTGCCACTGGACTCAAACTTTGTTCTGCTGCTTGTTCAGACCAACACGACTGCCCACCTAAATCTCTCTGGGTCTGACACCCACCGTGTCCCAAGCAGACAAGATGCTCAGTCGTTTATTGGCCTTTGTTAATGTATTCATATTTAACTAAAAAAAATCCTTGCCCTAATTTTTTATTTAACTCTGTATTCCATTCTGCAAGCTGAGGGTTAGAATTTGCAGTCTTCAGTTGTAACCTTCCTATACATTTAATTTTCTCCCAAGTATCCTGCCTTTCATTTTGGTGGTTACAACGGTAAGGTCAAGTTTACAGCTGCAACTGACCCGTTGGGTTCCCCCCGACCCCCCAGCATCTACCCGTCTTTATCATCTTGCCCCTCCCTTACTACCAGCAATTATTCCTTATATTTAGCGTTTTAATATAGCATCCATTTTTATGATGTATAACTGCAAAAAAAGTTTAACTCAGTTTAACGTCTACATATTCCAGTAAAGCACCATCAGTTTTTGACACACATACCACACCCTTTTCTTGCGATCCCCCAATCCCTGAGCTTTTGGGGTGGCAACACTTTCCTGGGTAACCCCAAGAGTAGTACAGGCTTGTTTGCATACTAAAGGCAGATACTCTGCTTCTGGAAGCACTGCTACTTCTTCCATTGCACCAGCAGGTTACTTTTAATCTTGCAGTTTTCAAGCATTTTTAGCTAGGGTAGCAGAGGTGGGTGAGGGATTCCTGGTGCTTTGTTACTGAGGCAGCTAGAAAACTAATCTGGGTCTCTGGGAATCTGAAGTATTTATAAACCAGTTATGCCAGCTGAGTAGACAGTGGACATCACCTATGCTGAGATTTGAGGTAATGTCCAGAAGACATGTATGTGTGAAAGTCTTTTGGTATCAGCCATGCATATCAGCCGGTGTGGGCAATCTTTATTTTCAGTACGACCAAGTGGAAGAAACATATATGCAAACCAATAACAATACATAAGCATTGTCTTTGCTGTAATTATAAAACAGCATTTTGAGATGAATTAGCTAATGGACCCCTCATGAAACTGTAATACAGCTCTCTGCATAAACACACACAAACGCTTTTACAAAGAACTGGAGATGAAGGAGGGTTTACATTTCAGGTTGTAGAATACCATGCAGGTACACAGTCTTCTGTGGCTTGAGGCTCCAATGATTAAAACACCAAAAGATTTACATCCAAATTTACAAAAGCCAAGACCAACAGATCATAAGATAGAACAAGCCTATTAAGTTGCTACAGAAAATGTTTATATTTATATATATATGCATTTGCTAGTGAAGACTGTAGTATGGAACAAAGCAGAAGGCAAAGAAATGAAGCAAGGATAGTTGTTTTCTACTGCAACAAGAGAATTGGTGAGAGTGGATGGATGTGAGGGCAATCTGGCTGCGACATCTGTCACCCCATTGATTGCCAGTGTTGATTCCGCTGATCTGGCTGGCGAGGGTGTCCCCTACCTTCCTCACCGCTCCATGTACATCCCTCCCAAAGCTATGCAGTCGGTTGAAGAGGATGACCATCCCAGATAGGAGTGTACCATTCTTCAGTGAAAGTGCAGAACTGGGACAACTTTGAGGAAAGGCTGAGGGATTTAGGATTGTTTAGTCTAGAGAAGAGGAGGTTGAGGGGGGACATGATTGCTCTCTTTAAGTATTTGAAGAGCTGTCACTTAGAAGAGAACAGGGGGTTGTTCTTGTTGGTAGCAGAGGATAGGACTCAAAATAATGGGTTTCAATTAGGAAAAACTTTTTTTACGGTAAGAGTTGTGCAACAGTGGAACCAGCTGTCTAGGGAGGTGGTGAGCTCCCCCTCAATGGCAATCTTTAAGCAGTGTCTGGACAAACACTTGTCAGGGATACTGCAGGCTGATCCTGCACTGAGCAGGGGGTTGGACTAGATGGCCTATTTGGCCCCTTCCAACTCTCTGATTCTATGATATTATGCCCAACTGAGTGAAGTAGAAAGTACCGAGTAGTGATGTGTGTTTTCTTTAACTCTCTTATTTCTTTTCCTGGAACACACACAAGGTAAGCTAAGGTGACAAATATTATCTGTTAGATGAAGACAGCTGTGAAAGTTTGCTGGCAAAAGTCTGAGAGGAGCAGGGGCCCCTTCACCAGAGGGTTCAACAGCACTCCACAAATAAGGAAAGCAAGTTAGAACCCAATCAGCTTACAGAATGTAGTTACACTTATATGAATACACTGTAAAACTTCAAACAGCTAGTAACTTCAACTGAGTTGAACATGCAAATAACTTAACAGTCAGAAACAAAGTTGTAGGTCTTTTTCTACTTTTCTGGAATGCTCCCAGTATTCCTCCAGTAAACTGGAAATTTTAGACATAAGATAAACATGAAGTTATTCTTGTTTTTAGAGAGAAAGAGAGGGAGCATTAAGGTCCTGCTTCATATAATTTTTTTAAAAGATCCCAATCCATTTCCCTGCCATCCTGCAGTTTGCTTTCCACTACAGAAACTCATAACTGATTCATCAATATTCTTTGGGGCAGCAGAAAGTGGGAGCTTAGAAGAATGGCCCAATTATTTTTTCTGAGCAGGTAGATTTGCCTATACAGAAGCCCCAGTTGTGCAAAGTCATCCCTCTTAAGGACTGAAGACTAAGTAGCCTTGCAAATGAATAGCAAGAATTTGTGGAACACCGAACCCAAAGCTAAAGTAGGAGTCCACAAAATAATTACTACCCCTACTTGCCCACATATATAGCATTCTCTCTCTCTCTCAATAAAAATGTGTAGTCTAAAAGGGAACAAGACACATTTTGTTCATCTTCCCAGCTTGAAGGAGATCCATAATGCAGTTGACCAAGCTCATGCCTATTTGCAAGCCTGAAATGAACACCTGTAGAAATACTGGAATGCAGCTTCCTAGCCAACTTGTTGAATTGAGGCCTCAGTGGGAAGCTGACCTCACTATTTTTCAGGGAGCCTGGCCTTACCTACACGTGGATTAATCATAGTCTATTCTGACTTCAGTAATAGAGTCAAAGGCTGCTTTGTCCACATTGCCCCTTCCGTGCACAGATGTCAGGTGCTTCTTGAGGGCAGATTTGTGCTTGAAGTCCATATCACAGCAGTGGCACTTGTAAGGCCTGTCTCCACTATGAATGTTCAAGTGGTCCTGGAGAGTGCTTTTGGCAGTAAATGTCTTCAGGCACACCATGCACTGGAATGGGCGGATCCCCATGTGCCCTCGGATGTGCCGGTTCAGATTCTTCTTTTGTGTGAAGGTTTTACCACACTGCAAACACAAGAACAGTTTGTGCATTTTCAAATGGCGGAGATAGTTATCAAGGTGGAGGAACCCCCGGGGGCATTTTGGACACTGGTGGCGCCATGAATAGCCAGAGTCCTCTGGATTTTGGAACCCGCCCACAGCACTCACAGCACCTTCTGGGTTCACACCCCTGAAGCCTGGAAACTGACCCCCGGCCACTTCTGAAATTCTGCTCTCAACAGTGGAGTTGATTAAAGAGTGCTGAGTTTCAGGAAAATATAAGTTTGTTTTAGAGGAGGTAGATGGTTGTGAATACTGTTCATTTTCCACACCAGGTGCATTGATAGAATCCATTTGGAAAATGCAGATCTCGTCATCCTTGTACTCTATCTCAACAGTTGATATCTCAGGGCTTTTTACATCCTTCCTTTCTGGTACTAAATTTTGCAAGGGTTGCTGCTGAACATCTCCTTTTTCCTGCTTTATATTATCTTCTAAATTCACAGAACTGTCTTCTGAAATCTCAATGATTTCACAATCTTTATCTAGATTGGCATCTTTGCCTCCCAGGTCCATGTCAGAAGAGTGACATTTTTCAGGGCTCCTACTATTGCCCTCCACAGAGACATCAATTTCCAGGTACCGCGATAGTGCCTCGGTGCATTTCTCCACAATATGCACCATCTGCAAGTAACTTGCAGCTGTGAGATATTTCAGAAGTTCCTTCTTTTTCACCTCTAGAGCACCAGTGTAGCATGACAGCAGCAACTTTCTGCCCACCTCGGCACTCTGCAAGATGGTAATGCGTACTTGCTGGGACTGGCTGAGCAGAAACTGGTCCCTCATGAAGGTGGAGCAAGCAGCAAAAATCACCTTGTGCCCCTGAAACTCGGTGTCATTGATGTAGATCGACACATCACAAAAGAGGTTTTGTTGCCGCAAGAGGTTCATCTTCTGCAGCACAGCATCCCCTTGTTGCTCAAACTGGAAATGGAGCACATCTGAATCGGCAGCCATGGCCACTATCCTGCAGAGAAGATATGCACAGGATTGAAGTTCAACAAGTCAAGAACGTCAGTGAAAGGGTGAACGACATTTCACACATTCTCAAGTCCTCATGTCCCTCATGGGGCTGGTAGACAGATGTGGTTTGGAAATTCTGTGTTCAGAACTTCATTCCTAGGTATGTACAGGCCTGATTTGCATTGAGACTAAAGCACATGGCAGAGAGGGGGTGCACAATATGTGTATGTGGGTGGGGGGAGGCTTATGCCTCTTACCCCTATTTACCATGGCACTGATAGAAATCAGATCCATGCATGCCTGTGTCATGAGTACTACCGAGGATGAGCTCCCGGCCCCAGCAGAAGTCCTGAGTGCTGCTGAGGATGAGCTCCCAATTCTGGCAGAATCTACACCTGGCCCCAATGAAGCCACAGAGGCTGCTCCGGTAACAGCTGAGGCGGAACAACGCACGTCAAACAGCCCCCCTGATTCGCCCCCACCGGTGGCCCGTTTGCGAGATCAGCGCCGACGGGATTTGGCATCCCAACAGCGAGAGGCGCACCTGCACAGCAGGCGGTCTCTCAGCCCTGAGTTCTAAGAGGAGCCAGGACACACGTGCTGGCTGGTAATTGACAACAGCCCAGAGGGATATTTAGCTCCTCACTCTCGGTTAATCCCTTGTGCTAGCAACTAGTCAGCTTGACGACACTCTGCACCCACCTTGCCCGTGTTCCTGATTCCTGTTTCCCGCTTTGAACTCTTGGCTCCTCGACCCCGGCTCTGACGACAACGCTCTTGGTTCATGCCCTGGACTCTGGTGTTTTGGCTTCTGACCCCTGGACTCTGGCTTGATGACTAAGCTTGCGGTTTGTGCTTTGGACTTGGTGTTTTGGTTTCTTGACCTCTCGGCTTTCGACCTCGGACTGGACCCGGACTACCCCTCTCTCGCCCTGCCTGCACTCTAGCCCGTGACAGCCTAGAGCATGGAACTTTAGGCACATATTTGATTAACAGGATCTATGGTGGCCACATGGCCTTAATAACGTGTGAATAGTGACTTTAAAAACTGGGAGACGTTCTTTCCATTAAAATTAGTATTGTTGGGGCTCTAGTTTCTAACATCCTGGATTTAGGTGTGCTTCATGCTGATGCCATAAAGGTACAATGTGCCATCAGGCCAGAGTCTTTCTTAATGTTAGCTAAATTACTAACAGCCAGCCATTGGAAAACTGAGGCTATAAGAATTAGGGGACTGTCACAAAAAAGCAGATCTTGTTAATGGAAAAGTTTTCCTACCAGATTCAAGTGGGCAAAAGTCTAGCTAATGAGTCTGCTGGCTTCACAATGGTTTGGTTGCCTTTGGTAGAATACAGTGAGGCTCCCAACACAATTTATCCTAGACTGAGTAAATACACTTCAATTGCCATTTATCAAGGAGTTATAATCAATTAAAATATACAAAAGGAAAAAAGGTACCTTCATCGATGAAACCGTCTTAAGCAGTACTGTGTTAATACTATAATAAATTTAGTAATAACTGGAAGGGATTTTCAATGGGCGAAGTGGCCTAAACCAATACAGGTCAAAGGAGAAAAATACACATCAAAAAAGAAAAGATCGTATCAAATTACATTGTTTGTAAATCTGATTGCTAATAACATTAGTAATGTATAATGAAAAATAATCTGTATTAAAGAAAAGGCTTTTCCTCTAATCACCTTTTAACTATCCTCTAATCTGAAGGATAACTAAAATGTTACCTCAAGAAACTGAATCATGCACTAACACTGGGTGAATCCATAGTAAACATAGTGTGGCCAGCTTTACTAGTAAAGATGAACTGTGATTTGTGTTTCAGCTGCTGAATGGATTATTGAGTAGAGGGTATGACAGGGATACCCTCCCCAGTATGGCATCCAATAGTTGCCTACCCCCTCCACAAGGTGACAATGCAAAACAAGCCTCTGTAGCAAAATGGACCCCACAGGCCCCCATTTTTACTAGGGGCAATGTGAGATTTATTTAGCCGGACCAGTTCTCAAGCTGCTAGACCTCAATAAGGATTTAACTACTCCAGTTTATTCCACCTATTCCCTTGGCTAAATAATATTTAACTCGCTGTCATCATCATCAGGGAACTGGAAGCATTGCAGTCTGACAGTTTGCAGTTAGACTATCTGTTCCAAATGCAAAATATCTTCTATTCAACGTCCCAACTGGATACAGAGACAGCTTAGAAATCTCACATTTGAGATATTATCAGAGCTGTCTGTCTACAGTTTGAATGTTTGAATGAGACAAGATTAGAGTTTGTTGTTTCAAAAACCAACTCTAATTTCAGAAAAAGAAAAATGTATCATTAAGTGCATAAACAGTAACTGGTTACAACAGTTGAACAACAAAATACTACAACATCTCAGCCTAAGAAAAACCAAATAAATTTAAATACAAACCTCTTTCTGCAGGTCTAAAATATATTCCTATTATGTTTAAGAGATACACAGAAATTTTTAATGGTTCAAGGTTTTCTGTTCAGGCCCTGTTCATTTTGATTTTACCTTCTTCCTCCATCTGTCTGGTCACCTCTCTTCAGACCACAGGCCTGTGTTTGTCTCCTCAGAGTCCCCAAGGTGTCTGCCCCCTTCATCTGACACCCTTCTTCTTAAGACAGCTTCTTCCCACAAGCCCACAAACCCCTCCAAGTTGAAATTCACCAGGCAGAGAAGGGCAAAGAAGTTACATTTTGGTAACTTCAAAGACTCAATAGCACAGCTTATATGCTCTCCAGCCATAGCCGCCCTGAGTCTCTGGGCCTGCCCTAATTACTGTAAGAATAACCGTTGTAGCTGTGAATTTATAACACTGAAAAACAACAAAAATACCCACCTTTTGACCAGACTACTTGTAAAGTCAGTTTGACCTGAACCCCTGAGCATTCACAGAGGGAAAATCTAGCATTCATTTTGCAAAGCATTTTCACACAGAGAAGTGTCATTTCAGCACAGTCTCTCCATTTCAGCGCTGCACAAGGAGAGGGGATCTGTGCAGGTGAAGCTGGTTGTGCAGGGGAAAGGGGAAAGAAGGTGCGCTTGGTCAAATTTCCTCTTTCTATCCAGCCATTAAAAGTAGTGAAAACCCCCTTTGCATTTTGCCACCCTCTTCCAAGATGCTGCCAATCCATCCTTTTCTCCTGGGGATAGAGAATCCAATTTAGTCAATACCCCCATCCGTTCCAAGGATTAGAAAGTGCAATCTTATCCAGTTTCCCTGCTCTGTACTCCTCAGTTCCCTGCCCCACATTACTCACCTGTTGCTGCAGATGGTGGGACCCAGCCGTACTTCTCACCAGTCACAGGAACAGCTGTTTAACCCCTGCAATAAACTTCCGGAGCTTCTCCAAGCAACTCCTCTCCTCTTAACCCGGAAAACCATGATCACGCACCCAAAATGCCTGCAGCGCCTTCCTTATTGGCTGCTTTTGCAACCAATGGGGAGACAGGGGATGATATCAAGACTGCACACGCTCTTAATTCACCCTCCCTCAAACGTACATGAAAGGTATATGACGGCTAGTGTCAGATCTTCAAGTCTTGCGAAAGCAGATGGAAAGAACTGATTCTTTCCTGCGGCAGCCAGAACAGTAAAATCAGAACTCTGCACTGCGTTGCAAAGTCTTGCAGGCTGCAGTTCCTCAGTATACTCTGGAAAATAAGGCTGATGGAAAGAAACGGGACTCGCTTCGGAATGAACACGAGTGTTGCCAGCTCCAGGTTGGGCAAAACCTGGAGATTTAGGGGGGATGGAGCCTGGGGAGGGCGAAGTTTGGGGATCAGTTGTAACAGCGGGAGATCCCCAGGCACCACTTGGAGGTTGGCAACCCTAAACCTAAAGCTCTCAGTGCGACGCCCGCGCGGGGGGAGGGGCAAAACGTTCCCTTCCCTCCCTGAGCCCCGGGGTGGTGGCTTTGGACTCTTAGGGGCAAATTCCACCTCTCGCGTGTGATGTCCGCGAGAGGTCATTCTGGCTCCCCCAGCTCTCAGGAGGGGCTCTTTAAAAAGTTATGGCCGCCATCACTGTTCTCGGCGGCAGCTGCGACACGCGGGGGGAGGGGAGGGGCAAAACGTTCCCTTGCCTCCCTGAGCCCCGGGGTGGTGGCCTTGGACTCGTAGGGGCAAATTCCACCTCTCGCGTGTGATGTCCGCGAGAGGCCATTCTGGCTCTCCCAGCTCTCTGGAGGGGCTCTTTAAAAAGTTTCTGTTTCCTGCGGCAGCGGCGATTCCAACGCGCCGGGGGGGGGGGTCCCTTGCCTCCCTTGGTGGCCTTGGACTCGTAGTGGTGGTGACCTTGGACTCGTAGGGGCAAATTCCACCTCTCGTAGGGTGGCCTCTCGTAGGGACATCACACGCGGGAGGCCATTCTGGCTCCCCCAGCTATCGGGAGGGGCTCTTTAAAAAGTTATGGCCGCCATCGCTGTTCTCCGTGGCAGCTGCGACGCCCGCGTGGGAGGGGAGGGGCGCAACGTTCCCTTGCCTCCCTGAGCCCTGGGGTGGTGGCCTTGGACTCGTAGGGGCAAATTCCACCTCTCGCTGTGTGATGTCTGCGAGAAGTCATTCTGGCTCCCCCAGCTCTCAGGAGGGGCTCTTTAAAAAGTTATGGCCGCATCGCTGTTCTCGCCAGCAGCTGCAACGCTTGCGCAGGGAGGGGGCGGAGCGAAACGTTCCCTTGCCTCTCTGAGCCCCGGGGTGGTGGCCTTGGACTTGTAGGGGCAAATTCCACCTCTTGCGTGTGGCCTCTTGTAGGGACATCACAAGCGAGAGGCCATTCTGGCTCCCCCAGCTCTCGGGAGGGGCTCTTTAAAAGGTTATGGCCGCCATCGCTGTAACTTTTTCCCCACCATAGAGAACAATGGAGGGGATGGGGGCAACCTGTTTGGGGCCCGTAGAATTGGACCCCCTGGTTTAATGTTCCTGAAACATGGCGGGTATCTTGGGGAGAGGCTCCAGCAGCTACCCTGTGATTTTGGAGCCTCTCCCTCAAACCCCCTCTCCTCCAGCCCCCAGAATATACCCTATGTTTTCGCCATTGACTTCAGTGGCCCATAGGATATAATGGGGCCGAACTGCGGGGAAGCTGATTAAGATCAGAGAATCTGATTCGGCCCACAGCAGGGGATCCTGAGGAAGCCAAGGGAAGGGAAGGTGGTTTAAACTGCCTCTTCTTCCCTCCAGCAGCTGGCTTGCTTGGGCTCCCTGAGCAAACCAAGGGAAGGGAAGGTGGCAGAGCAGCTGGAGACATTGAGCCTCAGCTCCACAAGTAATGAGCACTCGAGCCCCGACCCCAGCAGCCCTCAGGCTGGAGCACCTGGAGCAGTTTTGGGAGGCGGATTAGCAAAAAGCAAAACCAAAAGCGCAGGAACTCGAGAGAACTCCAGGAATGTAGCCGTTTCCTCTTCCACAGCCCAAAATGCAACCCACGTACCCTGAGCTTGCTTTTTCTCGTTTGTGAGTCTGGCCTCCACACTCCTTTAACGAGGCAGCCCTGAAGCTTGGGGCGGCGGGAGTTTCTCTGCATGCAGCTTGTGCAGCTGGCTGAGTGCCTCTTCTGCTTGCCCACCTCTCGCCTCTGCACCTCATCTTCTGCCAGGCATGGAGGAGCCCAGATCGCCCAGGCTTCTTGCCTCTTGCTGCCTTGGCCCTCTGGTGCACGGGTGAGTCCCCAAAGTTTGACTCTTCCTCTACAAGTCTCTGGCGCTGGAGGTATTCACCGCCTTCCCTCCTGCCTGCTATGGCTGAAAAATTGTGAGAGATTTCTTGTTGGTTCACTTAGGAGTCTTGATCCTGGTTGTGTGGTGGGCTAGTTGTGGCAAATGGTAGGGAAGCTCAGTATTCAGTTGTAGGGGCTTTATTGCAATGTGGTATGGCGTGATATTATGTTCTTATTCCAGTGTAGGGTGTGTGTGGGGCAATGGAAGCTGAGTGATAGGGTCTCTCCAAGTGATTGCCAGAAGTGAGATGCGTCCTGGTCTTCTGTCTTACAGATAATCTTACAAATAGTCCTTTGCATTTATATCATGCTTTCAACTTTAAAAGGATCATAATGCTGATTGTGTGAACTTAGGCAAATCACGAGAGGTAGAGCAGGAAGGGTTGCATCAGTGCTTAGTTCTTGTGGCCCTTTTTTACACGCCCAGGGAAATGCTGATCGCCACTTTGGGGGCAGGAAGCAATTTTTCTCCAGGCCAGTTTGGCCCCCAGTGATCCTGGAGGTTTCTTTAATCATATTCTGAGCGTGGAACAGGGGTCACTGGGGTGTGGGTGGGGGTACTGGTGAATTTCCTGCCTTGTGCAGGGTGTTTTACTAGATGACCCTGGAGGTCCCTTCCCACTCTATGAGTCTATGATTCTATAATTCACCCAGGCTGGCTGTGGGCACGCCAGGACCTCTGTCAGGCAGAAGCGCCTGAGATCCTCCCCCTCCCCTTTTCCTTCACCCGACTTGGAGGCCAAGGGAAGGGAGAGGGGGGAAAGAATGGATCCCAGGTGCTTCTGCCTGTCAGAGGGGCTGGTGCACACTTCCGGTGATGTCAGGGGGTGTGGCATATGCTAATAAGTTATGCTAATGAGCTCCTGCAGCTCTTTTTCTACGAAATGACCCCTGTTCTTATCATTTCAGCCTCTTCCCAGTTCTAGGAAGTGGGACACAATTTTCCTTGGGGTGAAAGCACTCCATTTGTGGTCTGCTGCAAAAGTTTGAATACTGACATAGGGGTTCAAACTGGATCAGCATCCAAGTTCCCCTTGATCTCACAGGTAAATCTGGAGGAAAAACTGCCAAAACACCAGGAGCCAACTTAGTTCCAAGGTGTGTCCAATCCATCCTCTCACTGCAATATTTCTCTCAGCATGAATTCCCTTAACGTTTCGTCACATCTGAGAAGCCTAGCTCATGCAAATAGCTAATGGTTGTCACTGGAGAGCATGTATGACTGAATGCTGTTCCCTACTCCCCCCCCCCCCAAAAAACACAAATCTTGTACTTAGACACTAGTATGTCAAAGATATACCAGGTTCGAACCCCTCTTGCTGACATGTTAAATGTGGAGGGAATGAGCCCCCTCCCTGCAGTCAGATGTGGTACAGTCCAGAAACACATTTGCCTTATTATCTGCAAGGCTATAAAGGCACTATGATTATTTACAGCAGCCAGTACTTGCCCTGTCACTGCACCAACACAGAATTCTGGGAAGCTGTGAAGCCCCCAGAGCCAAGGGCTGTTTCTCCATCTGAGAGTTCCATCAGACTATCCAATAACACACTGACAAGCAGGGGGAGAGTTTAGGCTGTAGTTTATTGTTGTTTTCCCAGAGTCCTCAGTTCAAATATCTGATTACTGTCTGGAGATCTGCCTATCCCTTTATCTTCTCGAACTGTTTACATCAAGACTGTGTTTGTACTCCCAAGCCTAGATTCCTGCCTAGGATTCCTTGACTGGGGCCCCTAGTCACTGAACATCACCAGAGTGTTAGGTCTGAAGGTGACCAGGCCTTCAGAGAGTAACCTGCTGCTCTCCTGGCCAGAAATACCACCTCCCTGGTCTCTCCAGAATTCCTGGACTTTTTAAAGCAGCCTTTCCTCCTCTCCCTCCTACCCCACTCACTCCCTGGCTCTCTTGGCCTACACCTGAGGCTTTTAGTACCCACGAGGTCTCTACTTCCAAGGCAGTCTTTACTCCTGAGGAGTCTAACCCTTTCAGTTTTTGTCTGACCTCCCCTTTTGTGTCATCAGCATCCCATCCTACCTTTCTCTCCTCCTCTTAGTTAATGTGTAACCTCTTTCAGGGCTGTTCCCTGGCTCCCCCACTTCATATCTCACTCAGGCCATCCATCTGGCTACAACCACTACAGTATATTTCTTGTTGGTCCTTGAGCGGAGGAAGGGCTCTATTTAGAGGTCCACATTTCACAAGTAGCTGACACTGGAGACCATCCCAATATCCCTTGCCAGGGATAGCTCATGTGCTTGGTAGTTCACCTCTGCCTCGCCATATAAAACCCCCCATGAATTTCTATTTTTATTCTCTACATCTTAAGATCCATCTGGATCTAGTCCAACTGTATCTCAGGTCCAACACTGGCCTGCCAGCCAAATACTATCAGGAAACAAAAGCCAAAAAGAAGTCCTCCAAACAGCTAATTTAAATAAAAATAATAAAAATAATTACATTAAAACAGAAAAGCAATAATATTATATTAACTAAAATATTTGAATTCATATATGTAACTAATATCACAGTGATAGATGTGTGCATAATATAACCATCCAATATAATTACAAAATAAATAGAATCAACACCATAGAATCAATGAATGAGAAATGAATGAGAAGCATAAATATTAACATGTATACATAGCAAATAATATCAACTTTAATACATCCATCACTGTGATAGTTGTTGTTTACAATTTTTATGAATACAAATATTTTTCAGTTATGTAATTATTCACATCATTATTGTTTTCCTTTCTATTTAGAGGTCCTTATTTTGTTTCTTTTTTACTTCCCAGAAACTGCCAAGCACACAATCAGGGCAACAGCCCTCCCTGGTTGTTTGTCCCCCAACACAGAGTATTCAAAGGTTTCTTGCCTTCCAACATGGAAGTTTAATTTAACTATTCTATTAATTTGTCTGATCCTTCATTAAAGGTACTTCTGTGAACTGCTGGTTAATTTTCCCTCCTTTTGTCCTCCCATATTGTGTTTGATTTTGTGTTGGGCCGGTGCTACCCTTCACATGCGCTCTTGTAAAACAATGAGGTGTAGCTAATTTGGATTTGTTACTGCATAACATTTCCATTCACATAATCACATCAAAATACAGCAGACAGACGTGATAGACATCCTATAGCAGAGGTGAGGCTGTCTCCTCCAAGTGTTCCATGTGGTCTTCTTGAATCTTTTTTTTAAAAAAATCTTAATTTTAAAAGCAAAGCACAAGGATAAACTAAAAATTCAAATATTAAAAGCTCAGAAGCAAGAATGAAGCCCTCTTGAATCTTCTGTTACATCCCATTCAGGACAGATTATCAAGACAAACTGAAGGCCTGTGTAGTTTAGCAGACTGAATGATAGACTGGAAAAACCGAGCCTGAATTGAAGCAAAGCCATAAACTCTCAAGGCTGCCTCATCCATTACATTTTCAGCCTCAGCCCTTTCTCTGAAAAACAGGATTGTAAATTACCTCTCTCAATGAACTGCCTTATGAACCTTACCAAAAATAACAAATAGGAAGACCGAATGGAAATTTTTACATGCACGGCTAGGTAACAATAAATACAACGCATCCAGTCTCCTGGATGTATTGAAGATACGAAGTTGCCGTATCCCAAGTCAGACAAATGGCTGTATCTAGTCCAATATCATTTCCTCTGGCAGCAGCTTTCCAAGGTTTCAGGCAAGGAAGGGTTTCCCCCAATAGCTGAAAGCCTTTAACTGGAAAGTGTACCTGGGACCTTCTGCATGCTTGCTCTGCCACTGAGCTGTGACTCTTCACCTAAATATATGATGCTTTACCCCAGCTGAGTCCATTGGTTCATCATGGTACAGTCCAGCCTGGCTGGCAGTGATTCTCCAAGGGGTCAGGCGGGGTGACTCCTGCTGCACAAGATCCTTTTAACTGACAATGGCAAGGACTGAATTTAGGATCTTTTATATGCAAGGCACTATGCCACTGAGCCATGGCTGCTTCCCTTTAATTATTCCATTAAATGAAAACCTGTAAGTTAGCTGCAGCTTTTCAGCACATGCTAAATTCCATGAGTCTTGCTTGCCCACCTGTCTGCACGGGCTGTCTTATGCTTAAGCCACTGGCTAAAGCTGTTGAATGATTGCAGTCGGCCTTTGCAATATGAGCACAGGCATTACAGACAACACAAAGCGACATCTCATGCTGGAAGATAGTACAGCCATTTTATTTTATAAGTCAATGGGATGTTTCTGTGCATGTATGCACACCCCATCATGAGTAATCCCTTGTGCACTCTTGGGTTCAAGCACACAGTCTCAGCAGCCTTGACTGTTAACTACAAGTCTTGTTTCTCAAAAATAGCAATTTTTAAGATTTGGCCCTAAGTCAAGCATAGCCCTCCCCATATTGGCTTCCTTTAACAGGGTCATGCTGCCTGAAGTTCCACCCAGATTTCATCAAGAACCACCTCCAGTATACCAGGCAGCACCATAAGATAGTTCCTGCTCAGCAACCAACCAGTTCCTCTGGTTGGAAGTCGTTTCAACCCCCGCCTGCATTTAATGCTACATTTATTGAACTCCCTCTGCCTCTCAGACTTCCTCTTCCTTCAGAGCAGGGAGGGGATGGACACATTCAAAGCAAGAGGATGGGAAATAAAACTAGATGTATGCACGTGTGTAAGAGGATCTCCATGCATTTAATGCCTTTTATTTCTCAGAAGTCTGGGTGGGGGTTGCTGTAAAGCAGATCTAAACAGCAAGGGCACTAGTTGCCAATCCCAGCCAGTGTAAAGCACAAAGGTTTTTCTGCCTGACATGATTAGGTTTTACAGAAAGATATAGCCTACCAAAAGATCAGTCTAAGAACACTCTGATGGAAAAGGGAAGGGTTTTCCTCTTGAAACCCGACAAGTTTTATTGGCTTAACAGTAAATTGTGTTTTTCAAAACTATAAACAACGGTTTACTAGAAACTGATAGGCTTTTTGATCTGTGGGAAGCATATGAAAGGCAGGACAATCTAGTTGAAAAAGCTGTATGGACAACAGATACATCTTTTGCACATGCCCCAAGAGAATTTACTGGCCAACAATATCAGAGAATTCTTTTTCCACATCCTGCTTCTACCTCTCTGCCCACAGTAGTAAGAGCACAGAGGGCTGTACAGGATCATATCTAGGCTCAGTCCAGATGCACTCAGAGAGACCCAACAACATTTTGTGGACCAGAGGACAGGAAATGATGCACTAGCTGCTTATGATCAACCATAATAAGCATATAGCCATTACTTGACTTACAATGAGTTCCTCTTTCTGTCCATTTCTTTATTACCCAACTCTTCTTCCAAAGACCTCAGGGCAGCACACATAGTTCTCCCCTTCCTCATTTTATCCTCACAACAACCCTGTGCAGTGGATTAGACTGAGACTGATTGGCCCAAGTTCACCCAGGGAGCTTCACAGCAAGAGTGGGGGTCTGAACCTGGGTACTCCCAGCACAGACTAACCCAGTCCCATCAGAGTTTGGAAGCTAAGCAGTGTCAGACACAGTTAGTCCTTTGGATGAAAGGCCACCAAGGAAGACTGGGGTTGCTGTGCAGAGGAAAGCAATGGCAAACAACCTCTGCTTGTCTCTTGCCTTGAAAACTCTATGAAGTGAAACCATGGGATGGCCATGAGTCAGCCGTGACTTGATGGCATGCTTTTATTATTATCTCCAGTCCTAGTCTAACACACGCACCATTTCAAGCTCTCATCTCCCACCTTTTAAATATATATATATAAGTAACTCCAGAATTTAGTTGAGGTTGGGAGTCACAGTTATAACCTTGTCACCGTCCCGGAGTGCCTGTACCTTTAAGAACTTTGATGGCTCAGGAACGTTTCGCTTCACCTGATCACGTGATGCCACCCCCACCCCCCACCCCTGTATATTACTTCTAATTACGTCTTGAGTGCCAACAGCGTTCTAAGCATCATTCACAACACCGAGGATCCCTGGCCCCAATCCAGAGTGCTTACAATCAAGGTTACAGAAGGATGGGATGGGCAGGGACCAAGAGTCACAAGCAGTGAGAGTTTGAAGTGACAACAAAGGGAAAGGTAAGGAGAAGGCAGACTAATTCAGAAAAAAAGCCCTTTGCTGTATCTTATTCAGGAGGCAGCCTGCTGGCCTGAAAGGGAGAGGCTGCCCCAGGCCTAAAGAGCAATATGGGAGAAGGCACAGACAGACAAAGGGGGCATGCAACTCTAATTTTTCCCTAGTTTAACTTCACATTTTCCGCAAAGGCTGAAATAGGGGAAGAGAGTGAGTGGAGAAGAGGGCCAATGGGAAAACGTGCTTGAGTAGAGCACAAAGATGAGGGCCAGGTACTACAGCAAAAGGAAGATTCTTCTCTTAGCCACAGCAGCAACCAAATCTGTATGGTTTCCCTTCCTAGGACAGAACCCTTAAACAGTTTTAATCAGAAAAAGGACTTCCACTCATATGACTCAAACTAGATAAGAGGCTGATGTCATTGTAGGGTAAGAACAGAAGGCCAATACCTAATGTTTTTAAGAAACGATTAAAAAAAACAACACCCACAGTTGGACTGTCAACAGCTTATAATGATCCAGTGCTTTTTTCTTTCCTTCTTCAAGAACTCAGGTTATTTTAGCTTTAAAACTAAGTTCTAGAAGGGCAAATTCTGTCCCCTACATTTTCCATCCCTTGGACTATAAGCAGGTAAGTGCTCCTTGGCTGCGCAAACCAACCACCACCCTTTGGAAAGAGGTTTTGAAGTGTAACTGCTTAAAACTTCAATGGAGGCAGGCCTGTGCTAAGTGGCATTCTTCTCATGGTAGGAACAAAGACAGCTGAAGTCACAGAACACATCAAATCACTCTAGGATGGAAGCTGAATACCTGCTACTGTTCCTTGTTCTGCTCTTAAAAGTGATTCAACAGAACTTTTGGGATCTGTCAACTGATGGTCATGTAAAAGTCCAAAACAACTCTGTACATTTCTTCTTACTCTGTTGCTCAAAAAGAGACTGCTCTAGTTCACACAAGCACCATCATTCCGTAAACTGAGCACCGCCTGGGCCAACTTTCCCCCATCTAGTACCTGGCTGGCATCGGCTTGCAGGCAGGTTTTTGAGTCCACCGCTGAGCTGCAGCTGAAGGAATCAAAATCTACAGTGATGTCTTGGACATTCCTCTCATTGGCATTGTCAAAGCTGTTTTTGCCATGGAGCTGTTTGAGGTGCTTCCTCAGGACGGGCTTGTGGGCAAAGACCATGTCACAATAGTTGCACCTGTGTGGCTTGTCCCCACTGTGCAGGTTGAGGTGATCCTGCAGGGAACATTTCTGCGAGAAGGTCTTCCCACAGATCTTACACTGGAAGGGCTTGATCCCAGCATGCACCCGCATATGCCGGTGGAGGTTGCCTTTCTGCGTAAAAGTCTTGCCACAAAGCAGGCACATGAACAGCTTGTGCATTTTCAAGTGATTGGCATAATTCTCCAGGTGTCGGAACACACGGGTGCACTTGGGACACTGGTGGTGCCACTGGAGCCCTTTGTCTACTCCTCGGTTGCTGGGGCCAAATGCAAAGAGGTTGTCACCTCCTGCATATGAGAGGGAATAGTTATGCAGCTGGCTCTGCTCCATTTCACTGGCTCGGTTCTCTACCGTGGAATTGATGAGGGAGTGCTGAGGTTCAGATGAATGAAGAGTGCTTTGCTCTGAAGAAATAAAGGAGCTCTGATCCTTTTTGTTTCTGACATCTGCAACCTCCCCAATGGACTCTACTTTCACTATTTGTATATCACTATCCTCCATATCCATGCTATCCTCAGAGGGTTGTATGCATGGGGAATCTGGCTGCAAAGATTCTTCCTCCTCCTCCTCCTCTTCTTCTTCTGCCACTGCTGGTGGTCCCTTTGGCTCTGAAGAGTCAGTTTGTTTCTCACTTGGTTCTTTTTTCTCCAACTGCTGCTTTGGTCTGATGAACTTCCAGAGGGCCTGTGTGCAGCGTTCCACAATGTGGCTCATTTGGAGAAAGCTGGCAGCGGTCAAGTAATTCACCAGCTCCATTTCGGGGAATTCGAGGATGCCACTGTAGCAGGACAGGAGCAGCTGCTTTCCTACTTCAGAACTTTGAAGGATGGAAATTTTCACTTCTCTGGAGTCATTCAGCAGGAACTGGTCCCTTAAGAAGGGAGAGCCGGCAGCAAACACAATCTTGTGTCCATGGATTTCAAGATCATCTATACGGACTGTGATGTCGCAAAACTTGTTCTCTTCTCTCAGCTTGTCCATTTTCTGCAGCATTGAGTCACCATAGTTGTCAAATTGGAAATGCAGGATATCAGGTCTCTCAGTCATCTTGACAAGCTTGAAGGCTGTCTATCTACAGAGAAAGAGAAACAAGACACTCTATAACCATCAAGATCACACAAAATTCAAACAAAAAGCTTTAGACTAGAAAATAACTCTGCCATATATAAAGCCACAATATGTCTTCTGCAGTTCTTGCCCCTTTTTGTTCTCTCTGGAAATAATTTTCTCTCTGTCAGTTTGCTTGAACCCAGCCGTCTGACTGACTGAACAAATGAAGAGGATGTGCAATGCAAACTGGGACAACAAATAGTAAAGTAAAGGTTCCCTTGCTCGAAAGCCAGTCGAATCCGACTCTAGGGTTGCGGTGCTCATCTCCGTTTCAAAGCCGAAGAGCCAGCGCTGTCCGAAGACATTTCCGTGGTCATGTGGCCAGCATGACTAAACACCAAGGCGCACGGAATGCTGTTACCTTTCCCACCGAAGTGGTACCTATTTATCTACTTGCAATTTCTTGCTTTCGAACTGCTAGGTTGGCAGGAGCTGGAACTAGAGACGGGAACTCACTCCGTCATGCAGCACCCGGGTCTTGAACTGCTGAACTACTGACCTTCCACAGCCTGCAGTTCAGCATCTTAACCACTTGAGCCACTGCAGCAAATAAATAAACTTAATAATATCAGCTAGCATTTTCTTAGCATTTATATAATTTACCTCTGTAATTCTTGTAGCCATTCTGCATGTGAGAGCTAATGTTCTCTGCTGGGGTAGGGAGAGGGTGCTGATGCTGAGAGACAGCAGTTCGCCTAAGCTTAAGGCTTCCTAGTAAGCTGACAAAAGATGAAATTTGAATTGCAGACTTCTGAGCTTAGGCTCTTAGCAGCTACTGCACACCAGCCCTTCCAGAAAGGATGGCACTCACTTATGGAAGTTACTTATCCCACCTACGGAACTCATGGCTGTATTACATGGTGCTGGGCAGAAGCCTAGACAATTAAAACTACTGGAAAGTTTTGTGGAGTAGAAAAGGCATGCCAGCCATGACAGTAAGATCAGAGACAACATATTAGATGCCAGCACCCAACAAAACAGGAAACCCATGAACTTCCCAGGAAGCATTCTGTTGGCTGCTGTTAGAAAGCAGACTAAGGCCCCAGTCTAAGGTGGATTTTCCGGGCGCGATCATACCGCAACATCTGGGAAGCGTAGTGCTCCCATGGCTATCCTGTGGCATCCCGCCGAAGATGCGGACTAAAAAACTAGTACCTATGAGGTACTGGTTTCCGGACACCGCGGGGCAAGGGCGGGCGTCTGATCGCGTTTCCGGTGGACCCCCGTGGCATCTGGTGCCTGCCGATGTTCCTTCGCAAACAAGGGGTTTTTTCCCCCCAAGCCTCCGCAGGATGCGCAAAAGTGCCCAACGGCGCATGCGCACAAACTGCAGTAGAACAAACATCCGTTTGCCATGGGAGTGGCGCCTAGCGATTGCTGCTGTGATTGCGCCGCACCGCTTTTTTGCCGCGCTGCTGGATAGCCGTGTGATCGGCACCTCACGCCCTAACCACGGGGCCTCGACGGGATGTGTGATCGGGCAGCCGTGTGTTATTGTGCTCCGGGGCAAACAGCCACGTTTCCCCCCTGCTTTTTCCAGTCCATGTGACCGGGACCTAAGATGCAAAAAGAGCCAACTGGGACCAGACACCAAAAGCCTACTTGGTTCTGCTGCATCCTGATTCCATTAAGTAAGAGGAGAGGGGGCATGGTGCAGCATGTCCTAGAATCAAGTGATCCAAGTGGTGCTGAGAGATAATTACTACTGTTTAGTTCCTATGGTTCATAAGAAGCCTGTGTTCCCTGATCTCTGTGTGTGTGTTTTATCAAGGATGTTTACTTATGCACTATTTTTTTAAAATGTGAGACTTCCCACTTGTATGAGAATATAACAATGAATAAATGAACACATCCAGCTACTTTACCAGATTGTTGGCTCGTCTAGCTCAGTACTTACATTGGTCCATCTACCACTGGTACAGACAGGCATTTCCTAACTGCTTACTGCTTTAGATGCGGGAGGCTGAAAACTTGGGGAATCAAAAACTATACATGGGCCCCGGTCACACAGGCCAGATATCGTGGGGGGAGGCGTGGCTAATTGCCCCAGAGGAAACTAACGCGCGGCCGCCCGAGCACACGTCCCGGTCGAGGTCCCGTGGTTAGGGGGGAGATGCCGACCAGACGGGTATCCTGCAGTGCAGCATAGAAGCCGTGCCGCGCGATCGCACTAGCAATCGTTCTTTGTGCGCATGCGCTGTTGGGCGCTGTTGCGCAACCTGCGGAGACTTGGGAGACAAAAAACCCACTTGTGTGCGACGAACAGCGGCGGGCACCAGATGCCACGTAAGTCCACCAGAAACGCAATCAGACGCCTGCCCTTGCCCCACGGGTTCTGGAAACGAGTACCTCGAGGTACTACTTTTTTACTCCGCATCTTTGGCGGGAAGCCTCAGGTTAGCCATGGGAGCTCTACGCTTCCCAGATGTTGCGGTGTGATCGTGCCCGGAAAATCCGCCTACCATCCGTATCGTCAGCGCGGCAAATGCTCCGTGTGACCGCAGCCATGAAGTTGTCATGTATACCGTCAGTCCATTGGTCCCTGTACCTTCGATTGACTGGGGCTGTCCAGGGTTCCAGGTAGATAAAAGTCTTGCAGGACACCAGCTACCTCAACACTTCCTGCGCTGTACTTGCTCTTGAACATCTTCTAACGTTGCCACCCTCCCAGCGGTTTCTAAAACGGCCCGAACCATTTTTCTGGCTGGAACTGACAAGGAGTCTCGAGGCACCTGAAAGGCTCGCGTGGGCTGGATTTATTTGCGACAGAAGCCCCCGTGAGTCAGACATCGGCTGCGAAGTCATAACGCAAAATCCCGCACGCGTCTGACAAAGTAGGTTCCGTTGAACCTTCTACTGCAGGAAGCCTGTCCAGCCTTTGAGATGCCACGAACCTCTTTGTTGTTTCGGCCAACAGACACAGCCAAGTTCCTCTACAACGTGCCTTTTCGAGCCGGCACCCCTCCCGTTCTCCACACTCCACCGGGCGCATTTTGCGGCCGCAATCCCCGCGCGCCGGTCCCAGAGGCCAGAGCCCCCGGCACAAGGCACATCCCTCCGCCCGTCTCACCTCAGCTCCGTCACCCCACCTCCCCCAGGCAGTGCAGCTTCGGGGCCGGCCCGGGGGAGGGGGTACTTCCGGTGCCAGAAGCGGCTCTTTCTTCCTGTCGTCACGGGGAAACGGGTTGCTAAGGAAAAAGACGGAAGTGACGTTTCCCCCTACGACCTCGGAAACAACTAGTCCTCTTTTCCGGCGGAGTGCTGTCACGTGACCGGGAGGGGGGCTGGGCGTGGGGTTGGCCCCGACTGAGGCCCGGCAGCGGTGCCGTGGCGGCTGCTGCTCCTGAAGGGAAGGAGAAGGTGAGGAGGGGCGCTTAGCTCGGTCCTCGCGTGTGCACGCAGCTGGCCTTGCGGGAGGGGATATGTAACCCCAAGGGGGAAGTGGGGGAGAGCTGGAATTGGTCTGTGAGGGGTGGGTATGTTTGGTAATGCTTAGCCTTCCAAAGCGTTGACAGGGCTTCAAGCGCACTCTCTTGTGGTAGTCCTTACAGCAGCCTGGTGAGGTGGGTCCTGGTTGTGAAGTGGCAGCTGGGCATGTGATAGTTACCCGTTTGGTATGTAGGTGTAACTGTCTGCAGAGTTCTGCATCTGTCTCCCCCCCGCCGCCTCACCGCACCCCCGACTGGGGAGAGCTATGGAAACACAAATCGATACAATCAATTTCTGGACGGTCGTGGGTTACCGTCTCCCATGAGGAAGTAAGCACCCTGATGATAGTAAGGCTCATGAAATGGACCTTTTGTACTAGCTTTTGCAAATTATTTTGTAGGGTGATTGCTTATGAGGTTGGAGGGAAGGCATCAGCTGGCTGGAGGGATTTGTTGAAAGGTAGCTTACTGCTGAAGATGCACAGCGGGTTTGGAGTCAAAGAGCATTGCTGTATGAGGGAAACTGGAGAAGCCTAAGGACTGAGTTTGTATATGCTGGAAGCCTCTGTGTCCATCTGGATCTGTGAATGCATTAGCCGTGCTGAGCGTGGGGGGGAGGGGTTGTGTCAGGAGTGAGGTAAACTCTGCTGGTCTGAGATTCTGTTTCAGACCAATAGTGGTTTGGACAGAATTTAGCTGTGAAGATAAACTTTTTTCTGTCTTAAGCAACAGGAATACTATTAAGAAAGTCTTCTGTTTTTATATGAAGTCTCATGTGTATTTGGCATGTTTTTTGAATAAGTATAGAGAGAAGCAGAGTCAATATGTGGTTAACTGATATATGTAAGAAGACTGTTTCTGTACTTGCAAAAATGACATCGTGTTCATATCTTAACTGTCTGCTGTTGCCTTGAAATACTAAGGCATTTGATATGCTGGCGTAGTAGGTAATTATCAGGTCTGGGTTTTAACTTCTTTGATAAGGGGCAGTGTGTGCTGGGTGTAGCTTGGGTGCTAGGCAGAGTGCCTTGATATGTACAGAGTAGTAGGTTAATCACAGTTACTGCCTGACCAATTCCCACTGAGTTCCCAAGCTTTGAATCTGTCCCATTAAAACTGATTTCTTAGCTGTGGCCTCATCCTGCTTGTGCATTGTTTTTACCTGCTTGAAAAACCTTAAAGGCTTTCCTTTTGTTTGGTGGCTTTCTAAAATTCAGCAAATGAATAAGGAATTATAGAGTATGTAGATACTTCAGCATGTTACACAGTGGCTTCAAGGGGAAAATGGTGGAGTGGACTTCTTTGTGTTGTTAAGGGACTACGATAGCTAGCAAATAAATATTGACTTGATTCATGAGTATGTTGAATGGCAGAAATTTTTATGCATTGATCCCTGGGAGCAGTGAGATTTCTTCCTGTATTTGATGGCCTGTAAAAGTAATTGGTATCTGGAGAATATTTCAGTTTTCCTATTCCAGGCCTGGTCAGCTTTTTAGTGGTGTGTTAAATGAAACTCTTGCATTAATGTTTTGAAAGAGACATTAAAATATTTGCAGTTTGAGTCCCCAGTTGTAGGATTTGGGAGTGGAAAGTGCCTCCCTCCTCTACAAGAGAGCCTTCCTGCTTTGATATCTGTTCCAGGTCCAACTCTGAACTTGAGTAATGTCTTAGCTGAGTACTAGTCATATGGAGGGACTAGTATGTAATGTTAACTAATGATCCTTTCTTATGACCCTTTAGTTCAATCTGGATCCACAGTCCTTTTAGAACCCTGAGTTTTCCAGGTTTTACTGCTGTTACTGTTGGTGTGAATGAATCTAACTTCTGTGAACAGCCCCAGCACTGTTTTGCTTCCAAGTACTGGGTCATTATATTGTCTGCAGACCTTTTGTCATCTTTTGCAAGTCCTGATCTTCAACAGTTCATACTGTCTCCCCCCCCTTAAAAAACCCCCAAAATCTGCAGTTTCACCTTCCTCTATTTGTAATAATCTTCCTAAATTATTGAAATGCATAGTTTGGGTTCTGTCTACAATGGATTTTCAGCTTTTCTGAAAACATGCCTTTAAAAGATTTTTTTAAAAATTGGGGGGGGGGGATTTTGATGCTGTCTTCTGTGTAGTTCATGACACTCTTGAGACCATCCGGGTTTCCTGGTCATTTATTTCTGAGCAGTATGTTTCATAGTTAAAAGATAGTCTTCTGGTAGCCAGTGGAT